CCATGCTTCCTATCACACAGCATGTCTGTCTGTGCTGCTCACTGAAATGACCTCAGCGGACCAAATACTCTGTCTATACTCCAGCCTGGAAGCAGGAACTTGTCCCTAAGATACCACATGGGCCTTGAAAGAACCCAGGCCAATCCCAGCCCCCCAGACTCTCACCAGCAGGGCTGCAAGGTGAGGCCAGGCCCAGAGATCTGGGGACATCTGTGTCTTTCCCTGGTCTCCCCTACCCATGGGGACAAACTTTCCCAGTTGCCCACTTCCTCATTCGTGCCCTGGCCTCCTCAGCAGCCCAAGCTTTAATCCTATGCCTCTTGCTTCCTCCACGGCTGCTCTGTCCTTCTGGGCATGGTGACACATGCCTGTAATCCCTGCTCCACAGGCCAAGCCCTCTAGCACTCCCACAGCACTCACTTCTGCTCAGGCTGCAGCATACAAAGCCCCTCCTGGAGTCTCCCTTGCCAGAATGGACATCTGCAGCCTGCCTCTCCTGGGGCCAATCCTTTCCCTGCCTCCAGTATCCAACAAAGGGGGCTTAGTGAATGTGTACTGAATGACCACTGCCCTGCCCTGCCCACATCCCAGTCACAGAAAGGTCTGCCCACCAAGCGCCAGGGCCCAACGTACAGCCAAGGCACTTCTCTTGAGGACAAGCCTACTACTTGCTATGCATAGTGTGCCAGGTTTCTGCTGGGGGCTTTTTACATTTAATGATCAGAAATCATCACCTCTATGGTGCTCATAACATGCCTCTTCCCTCCTCTAAGTGCACAGGCCTGCTGGGGCCTCAGTGGCACTCCCACTGCCAGGCCTATTTGGAGCTCCCCACAAGCCAGCCCTGCTGCTGTGGACAGGAGGCAGCAGAGGCCTATTGCCAAGGCAGCTCTGTGTACTTCTCAGGCCTGGCCCTGTGCTGGCTCCTGAGGGCAAGAAGGGGAGGAAGTTCAGCCCCCAGGGAACTCACAGACTATAGCTCACAGAACTCCACCACCATCCCGGCTGCCCAGGTTAGAGGCTACTCTATGTCCCCAGTGACCAGAGAGCTGCTGAGTTCAGTAGAGATCCACAGTCATGGGGGCAGCACTCCACAGGCACCCACCACACTAGAGCCCTGGACAGGAGAGGGTGGAAATACACAAACAATGTGCCAGCCCTCTGCACACCTCCCTACCATGCTGGACTGGAGGTGGGGGTTCAGAAAAATGCAACCTTGAGGGGAACAGTAAGTTAAGGCAACCTAAGTCTCCCCAAGGGAATTGCCAGAGGGGTGCTGAGAGCTAGGAGTGGATACCAGAACTGAGGAGGTGGGCACCAGGGCCCTACAGAGCAGAGACCCCACAGGGGAACAGTGAGGCAGAGTCTGAGAAAGGCCCAAAATAGACACCGTGGGCTCTTAGTGGGCCCAAGAAAAAGGTTATGGGGAGACAGAGACATGGAAAGCCCAGGGGAGAAGGAGAAGAGAGGGGAAAATAGAAGAAGTGGAGAAACTGATAGAAGATAGGAAATTCTAAAAGCCAACAGAGAAGGGGGAGCAGAGCACCCTAGAAAATCTGGCCTGGGGGTAACAGCCAACCAGACAGACAGACAGGGACTCCCGGGCCCTTAGGCTCCCTCCCATCCACCCGACAGCCCAGCCAGGCTGCTCCTTGCTCACCCTCAGAGGCCCGCTGGGTCCTGGGCCCAAGGACTCCAAGGCTCCAACCAGGCAGGCTCAGTGTGTGCTCAAGTGTCGTGTCCTGCCCAAACAAGCCTGTGTCAGCCTGGGCTGGCCTCACAGACTGCCTGGGCCCTTTTCCCAGGTGTGTCTGCGGCTGGGTTCCCTTGGAGATGTTGGAGCCCAAGAGTCTCTCTGTGCCTGTGATTTGTCTCTGAGTATTTATAAATCGCTTCTCTGAGTGTGTATATTTCTGAGTTTACCTGTGAATCTGTCTGGGAGAATGAGTGTGTGTGTGTTTGTGTATGTGCATCCAGCTCTGGTCTCCCCAGCTTCCTGCTCTCTGCCTCCCCCACCCCCTGAAGCCCGGGCCAACACACACACTTCCTGAAAACACTGACTGAGAGAGGAAAGTCACCCAGAATCCCCTGGGGCAGACACTTCCTACCCGCCCCCTTGCCCCCACCCCCAAGCTAAGATGGGACAACCAGCAGTGTCTGCTGGTCTTGTGAGGTCTTACAGGATGGACGCCCAGGAAGCCCTGGCCTTGGCTGGCCCCTGCAGTAGCCTCTCCCACTTCCTACGCTCATGAGAAACCCCAGAGAGGCTGAGAAAGAAGTTCTTCAGAGGGAACAGGTTCTGCCCCAGCAACAAGTGATCAGTCTTCAGGAAGACCAAGGATTGGCTGGGTGAAGGCAGTTAGAGCAAAGGAGGGAGACCTTGCAGTACGACTCCAGCTAACAGCTGCCCCCTCCAGGCAAATATTTCCTTTTTCAGAGGTATCTCCAGGCATCCAAATACCAGAGGGGGAAACTGAGGCTAAGAGCAAGCTGGGAGGGGCTCTCTGGAGTGACCCTCATGTCCCTGATCAGAAATGACCCCTATAGAGACCAGCAGAGTAGAGGAGAGGGACCATTGGAAAGGAGGAGGTGAGGAAAAGGGGAAATACTGGGGAATGATATTTACCAAGTTATGTTGTTATATCATGTGCATGAACGAAATAACAAATCCCACTATTAAATATAACTATAGTGCACCAGTAAAAAAATATGGAAAAAATTTAAATGTCTTTGGTAGGGAAAAAAAAAAGAAAGAAATAAAGCAGTGATCTCTCTGTGACTCTCAGGGAAGCTCAGAGTTCACATCTATAAAAAGGAGCTGATGGGCTGGGGCTGTAGCTCAGTGGTAGAGCGCTTGCCTAGCATGCGTGAAGCACTGGGTTCGATCCTCAGCACCACATAAAAATAAATAAATTAAATAAAAGTATTTTTAAAAAAAGGAGCGTGGAGACCAGGAGGCAAGGTTGAATCCTTGCTTCCCCTCTGCTTGGCTGGGTGAATATGGACAAGTGTCTTAGCATCTCTAGATGCTAGAGGAAGGAGGGTAAGCAGGATGAGTCCTCTTAGGTGTCCAAGGATTTGGGACATTTGGGGGTCCAGGTATGACAGGAGCACAAGTTCAGCAAGTTCTCCACCAGAGGTTTAAATAATGGTAAAGAATGCAGACTCTGGGGGTGAAGTGGGTCCACTGAGGCCAGGCAGAATGGTGAGCCTGGCTCTGAAGAGTCCCCAGCCTTACCAGGCCAAGAAGGAGAGACAACTCTTGCTTGCTTGCTGATTTGCCTACATGTTGGTCTCTGGCTGAGGATCTTACCCCAGCCTATTCCACCCAGTGGCCTCCTCTGTGCTGTCTCCCTTCCCAACGCATCTGAGGTGACACAGGTTGGGGAGAAGGGATTTGGAGTGGTGAGCCCAGGACCGTTTAACTCTGTGTCCTTTTTTGAAATTTTTTTTAGTTGCAGTTGGACACAATACTTTTATTTTATTTATGTTTATGTGGTGCTGAGGATCGAACCCAGCAGCTCACATCTCTACCACTGAACCACAATCTCAGCCCCTCAGTGTCTTTGACAATAGAGTTAGTTGAAGGACAAAAATTACTCCTGCATACAGAAGAATGGCCAATAGAGGGCACAATTGCACCAGGAAATTCCCATCTAGGCTGTGAGCCAGGCTGCTGGGAGATTCGAGTTCCCAGTTGTGTGAACCTAGGAGAGGCACAAACCTTTTTTGTGCTTCCACCATCCAAACTTCATACCACCACAGACCTGGTTTGACCTTCAAGGCCCCCTGACTTAATGCTCCTCTCTGGGTTGGGAGAACCTCCCTGACCTTCCTCCCAGAATAATACATTTGACATGGATCCAAACAGTGCCTCCCATCCCCTGTTCTGAGCCATAATGTCCCTGCTTAAAACCAGGAAACAAATCCCTCAGAAGGCTTGTTGCAGGGATCAGTGAAATCATGTATACAAAATGCCCCACACAGCATCCAGCAATAACCAGGACCAGTAGACTGCATATCCCTTCCTCCTCTAAGAAATCTTCCTAGTTTAGCCTGACTTAAACCAAGCACTCCAACAAATCCCCCCTCCGAACACAAACCTAAACCTCTTGGGGAGGCTCCCTCCTGGCTGGGCACCCAAGCAAATGGTAGGAAAGAAGGTGTATGTGAAGGAGACAGTATAGAATGTCCACAGAAGCAGGAGGAACCCAAGAAAAGGGGGATCAGGGGTCATGGAGTAAATAGTTTGGAAGAGGAAGGAGGGTAAGCAGGATGAGTCCTCTTAGGTGTCCAAGGATTTGGGACATTTGGGGGGTCCAGGTATGACAGGAGCACAAGCACAGTTCCCACCCTACCCTAAGATCCCAGGCTTTCCATTTTCTCCACACATTACCTCCTTGTGACAGAACATGCCCCGAGTCCCCACAGTATCTCATACTATCCAGGTCCTTTGCTGAATTCAGACTTTCTCCTGAATTTACTTCTACTTCTGGATCCCAAATCTGTCCCTAGGAGCACCCAGTCACCTGAGACAGAAAACTAGAAGTTGTCGCGGCTCCCCCTGCCCTCGCTGCTCACATCCAGGCAGCCACAAGTCCTGGCCCTTCAAGATTCATCTTCACTTTCTAACAGGTGCATCAGCAGAGCCTGGGACCTCACCTGATCTTGTGACCACTCACTCACCTCCCAGCCTCCCCCCAGCTCCCTAATAAGCAGCCAGAATCATGCTCCAGGCCCTCAAATTTCATCCTATCATTTTGCTGAAAACCTGTCTGGCATCCCGGCCGGGCCTTCACAGCACTATCCCTAAGCCTCACCCACCAACCCAGCCACACTATCGTTGGGGGAACCTGGAGCACTTTCCTCCTCTGAGCTTTGCACAGGCTGTTCCCTCCAACTGAAGTGCCTTTCTACCCCAGTGTGAAGGCCATGAACTCCACACCTACGGTCCAGAATCCTCTGCCTATGTTCCACCCACATGAATGGCACCCACTCACCTCACCAGCAGGCGGGGGGCTCCTGTGCGAGGAGGCACTGGAGGAATGCTCAGCTCCACCAAATGTCGCTTGGCAGGCAATGGGGGCAGCACAGGGTCTGGGGCAGCTGCGGATGGGGTGGCAAAGCAGGCCGGCGGAAGGCAGCTCTTGCGGGGTGGGATGGGCGGGGCAGCAGGTGGCACCTCATCCTGCCCAGCTGTGGGCAGTGACTCAGGTGGAGTGGTGGACACGGGCGGTGAACGGAAGACGTGGCGCTTCATGGGCACAGGTCGTGGTGTAGGGCGGGGTGCAGGAGCTGGAGGTGCATGGGCACGGAGCAGGCCAGCCAAGATGCGGCGGCGGTGTCCCGGGAGTAGCATGCCCATGTCCATCAGGCGGGCATCGCTGAGGCCTTGGCACTCAGTGGCCCACACCAGTCCGTGCTGCTCAAAGAGCCCAGTATACTGCTCCAGGTGCAGCGCCCGCAGCCACTCGGCCACTGACAAGGCAGCGTCCCTGCCCTCCGCCATGGTTCCTGCCAGCAGAGGTCCAGCCAGGAGGGTTCGAACCAGACCTGGGATAGACAAGCACAGGTCAGAGACATGGTAGCCCAGAGCAGTTCCCCTAATCAGCATCCCTCTGTGTTCCTTCGTGGCCAATGTCACTCTTTTTCTTTTTTTTTTAAGTTTTTTAAAAATATATATTTTTTTAGTTACAGTTGGACACAATACCTTTATTTTATTTATTTATTTTTATGTGGTGCTGAGGATCGAACTCAGGGCCTCACACATGCTAGGCAAGTGCTCTACCACTGAGCCACAACCCCAGCCCCCAATGCCACTCTTTCTCTTTTTTAAAAAAATATTTTGTTTTAGTTGTAGTTGGACACAATACCTTTATTTTATTTTTTTATGTGGTGCTGAGGATGGAACCCAGCACCCTGCAGGTACTAGGTGAGCACTCTACTGCTGAGCCACATCCCCAACCCCCCCAATGCTACTCTTAATCCTCAAAAGACAAGATCCCAAAGGCCAATTCCAAATATTAGAATCCCCAAAGATCAAAATCCCTAAAGTCTAAATTCCCCAAAATTACAATCCCAAAATATTAAAACTGTAAATGTTGAGATTTTAAAAGCCAAAATTCCAAAACCCCCTCATGCCATGGGTTCAAGTTCAATCCTTAAGCTTCCTCCCCTGTGCCCCATGTGCCAGGCAAAGCCAAGTACTGGCAGTTCCCAAACACGTAGGCTTTTCCCTCTACCTAAGTCACCCCCCATCACACTGCCCCTGGGGCCTCCTATCACTCTGACCACATCTTCTCTAGGAAATCTTCCATCACCTCCAAAGTTGGCATCACACCCACGCCCATATGCAGCCTGGGCCACTCCTCAAGACTGGCCAATGGCATGTCTGATGCTGTACAAGGTACCCCCTCCCCAATGCCCTCAGCAAGAGCCAGGCCAGGGACCAAGTCCCTCTAAGGTAAGTCCCCAGTTGAGGGCCAAGCCCAGGGGCTTAGCCAACATGTGTGGAATTGAAAGGCACTACTGATAGTCCCTCTGCATGCCCAGTGTGGGGACAGAGCCTCACCTCCCTCCACCTCATCTCCAGTGCCCACAGAGGAAGTGGAATGCTCCAGAAGACAAGTCAACCAGATCACACAGCCTCTGGGTTCCTGAACCCCTAAGTCCCCTTTTCCTGCCAAGGAAGGGGAAGGACATTCATTCATTTGTTCATTAAATACAGCCTTGCAGGGAGCAGTGGCACACACCTGTAATCCCAGCAGTTTGTGAGGCTGAGTTAGGAGGATCGCAAGTTCAAAGCCAGCCTCAGCAAGGGTGAGGTGCTTAGCAACTCACTGAGACCTTGTCTCTAAATAGAATACAAAATAGGGATGGAGATGTGGCTCAGTGGTTGAGAGCCCCTCAGTTCAATCCCTGGTACCAAAAAACAAACAAACAAACAAAAAAAGCCTCACACTTGTCAATGGGGACTTGGGTTCCACATCCCTGCACTCAAGAGCTCCTGGCTTGGTGGGAGTACAGAGATGATTAACAGATCAAAAGTCATCCAATCATCCCCAGACACTAAAGAGGCACACCATGAAACTTGACATTCACCTCTTAAACAACACCTGACTAAAATAGCAACAGACAAACTCCTTAAATAAAATCTAACACTTTACTTCATGGAAAAGCAACAGAAGAGACCCATTACAGTTTTGGATGAGACCAGAGTATCCACTTCATTATTAGTATTATTATTATTGCTCTAAATGTTCTAGACAACAAAAATAAACAAAGGTATAAAAATTAGGAAGGAAAAAAAACTATCATTAATTGAGAATAATATAAACTTTTGAAAGCCCAAGCAGTTCAACTAATAAAATATTATAAATAAGAATTTAGTTAGCTAGAGTTGTGGCTCAGTGGCAGAGCACTTGCCTAGCACGTGTGAGGCCCTGGGTTCGATCCTCAGCACCACATAAAAATAAATAAATAAAATAAAGATATTGTGTCCAACTACAGCTAAAAAAAATAAAAGAATTTAGTTAGGTGAGTTCAAAATCAATATTTCTAAGCAATAACCAGTAGAATTTAGGATAAAATTGGATAGAATTTAGGATAAAATAACCCATTTACAGTAGGATCACAAAACATAAAACACCAAGAATAAACTTCATAATAAATATACATGGTCTGGGGGATAGCTCAGTGATAGGGCACTTGCCTACCACGTGCCAGGCCCTGGGTTCAATCCCAGTACTTGGGAGAAAAAAAAAAAAAATCTCACTGGGCACAGTGGTTCATACCTGTAATCCCAACAATCAGGAGGCTGAGACAAGAGGATTGCCAGCTCAAGGCCAATCTGGACAATTTGGCAAGACTCTGTTCTTAACATAAAAATCAAAAGGAGCTGAGGATGCAGCTCAATGATAGAGCATCACTGGGTTGAATCCCAGTACAAAAGGAAGGAAGAAAGGACAGACAGACTAACACAGTAGGGAAAGAAAAGAGAAATAAACAAGGTCTACATGAAGAAAAAATGTAGTGTTCTTGAGAGACAAAAAAAGGGAGGAAAAAAGACTAAGACAAATGAGAAGACATAATAAGTTCTGGACAGAAACATCACAAAGGTATTAAGTCTCTTTAATTTATAAATACACACAATTCTACTCAGTATGTACACAGAAATTCCTTTTAAACTAGACAAATGGATTTGAAAATTCATGTGGAAAAATAAAAAAGCAGGAAGACCCAGGAAAGCTTTGGAAGCAGGTAGAAATCTGCCCCATCACATATTAAAACATACCACAGAGTCACAATAATTAAAACAGTATATGCTAGCAGCTTGGGAACAAACTGATTAATTAAACAGAACAAAAGCTCAAGAGGAGATGGAAGAACTGGTACACAATGAAAGGAGAATCTCAAACTAGTGGGGGAAAGGGGTTATTAAGTTGTTGGGACAGCTGCAGAGAAATCTAGAAAAAAACTAAGGTGTTCCCCTCTGTGAAGCCCTGTTCTGTTTTTGTTTGCCTCACACCTTACAACTAGATAAGTCACAAATGGATCAAAGATTTCAATATAAAAAAATAAAACCATGGAAGGATTGAAAAATCACCTTAGAGCAGGGCATGGTGGTGTACCCCTGTAATCCCAGCAGCTCCAGAGGCTGAGGCAGGAGGATCACGAGTTCAAGGCCAGCCTCAGCAATTTAGTGAGACCCTGTCTTAAAATAAAAAATAAAAAGGGCTGGGGATGTGGCTCAGAGGTTAAGTCCCCCTGGGTTCAATCTCTGATACCAAAGGGGCGTAAAAAACCCCTTAGGTAAAAATATTTTGGAAAAGATATAAGCCCAGAAGGTATGCAGAGAAGCCTGGAACATTCACCTACTGTCACAGGCCATATAGTGATGCTCCCATCAGTGATGGATCACATAGATGACAAGAGGCCCAGAAGATTATAATGGAGCTTAGAAATTCCTATCACCTCGTGGCATCGTAGCCAAACTATATTCCTCTGGGGTCTGTGGTGATGTCGGTTTAAACAGGCCTCCTGTGTTGCCTGTCATATAAAAGTACAGCCCACACATACTTGATAATGATAATAAATGACTATGGTATTGGTTTATGTGTTTACTACTCTCTATTTTTTATTCTTATTTTAGAGTATATTCCTACTTATAAAAGAAGTGTATTATAAAACAGAATGCCAGCTCACCTGGCAGCAGGCTCATACATCTTGTGTTTACTGCAAATTTCCTGATAGCATCGAGGCTGCATGGAGTGACTGAACCAGCCCTTCTAGGTCTGAGTTACTATGCTCAATGATGTTCACACAATGACAAAATTGCCAATGATGCATTTTTTAGAAATGTATCCCCACTGTTGAGCATTGTGTGACACTGTAGAAAAAAATAAACATGCCAACATGGTGGAGACACCATATGCAAAGCAAGAGGTAAATGAGGACCTAGAGGACATCTCACATCCTATTCATTTCAAACAAAAATCTAGTAGAAAAACGGGCAAAGAATATTGACATCAGGAGAAAGAGAGAAGGCTGGGAGGATAGGAGATGGGCCCCTGAGTAGCAACTTCCTGGGCAGTACAGCACCAACAGCACCTGCAGATATTTCCTAAGAAACTTACAAAAAGGCTATTTTTAAACTAGGACCTGTGTCACTGGGGTCCATGCCTCTCCAAAGAAGGAAAAATCCAGCTAGGTGCCATGGCACACACCTGTAATCCCAGCGGCTTAGGAGGCTGAGACAGAAGGATTGCAAGTTCAACGCCAGCCTCAGCAATGGCAAGATGCTAAACAACTCAGTGAGACCCTGCCTCTAAATAAAATACAAAATAGGGCTGGGGATGTGGCTCAGTGGTCGAGTGTCCCTGAGTTCAATTCCTGGTATCCAAAAAAAAAAAAAAAGAAGGAAAAATTCCTGCTTGATATTTTGATTGGACTAAAGGCTGCATGAACACCATGAGGTATTCATGGTATTCATGAGGTATTCATGGTATTCAAGCAGCATTGGGCAAGGGGCTGACTTCCTTAAACCTATATAAAGCCCTAGACAAAAGCCACTCTTGAGCATCCCTCTCTTAGGACCCCTCCCTCTTCAGCAATTCTGCTTTCTATTACTCTAATAAATCCTGATGCTTTACTCTCACCCTTTGTTGTGCATGGATTTTACTCTTCAAATTCATGAGATAAAAAACCCAAACCCATGCTCTGTGTTACAAAATGACAGAGACAAGCACAGAAAGGAAAATGTAAATGGCCTTTAAACATATGACAAGAAACTTAACAAAATACAAACATCAAATATAGTACAATGCTACTTTCCACCTATGAGAATATCAAAGAAAAAATATTTTAAAATGCACAGCCCTGGTAATGGGGTGGGGCTACTCCTGCCTGGCTGGTGGCTGTGCCTCTAGGGAAAGCCATGCCACAGTAACTACAAGATCCTGAGCTGGAAAGCCACTGTCCTTTGGCCCAGATACCCTGGGTCAAAGTACAGACACTTACTGTACAGGTTTACGGGAACACATCTGCAATGACGGAGGTAGATAGTTATTGGCTACAGCACTGTGTATAATAACAAAAGACTGGAAATAACCAAAATGTCCAACAATTGTAGAATGGTTAACTAGATTATGGGGCAGTCTTCTGAGAGGCCCTAAAAAGGAGAAAACTCCTTACACATGGGCACAGAATGACCTCCAAGATATGCTGTTAAGTAAAGAAAGAAAAGTGCAGGACAGTTTCAAAACATTCTGGTTTTTTGTGTGAAATAAACAAAAAGAGAGAGTGGCTCAGCACGCATGCACAGCAAAATATATGAAGAGCCTCTGCAGAGGCCCAGGGGGTCCAGCAATACTGGTTACCACTCTCCTCAGAGGTGGAAAACAGAGCTGAGAGGACAAGAGGGAACGGAGGCAGATGAGAGCTCATGGGTCTGACGCTTACACAATCCAGATGCCCTTTGGGGTAAAAAGAACACAAGAATATCTCACTTTTGCAAATTCACAAAAACACAGGACCCATGTGTCCACATTGTTCAGGCCCCCTCTTTGGATCCTAGAAGGACCCCTGAATGTCAAATTCCACCTTTCCTGGAAATCTGCCTCTGACAGGAGGAACACTTTTCACTTTACTTAGTCTATCACCTAAAATTTGAACTCTCTGAATTTTAAAAATAAGAATAAGAATATAATGGATACTTGGGAGAGCCAAAGGAAGTTATAAACACAAACATTCCATGTTCTTGGATACAGTGGCTCCTAAAATTATAAAGACATCAGTTCTCCCGGGGTTAAGCTATAACTTGAATATAATTTCCCAACTGAAATTACCAAATGGAATTGGTTTAAACCAACAGGTTCTAAAGTTCATATAAATTAATATTAAAGATTTATTGTTAAGTGGAAAAGTAAGGTGCAGGACAGAGTTATATAACAACTGAGTTTTTTTTTTTACAACTGAGTTTTAAAAAAGAAATATATACATATGTACACACACACACACACAAATATACAATAGAATACTCTGGATAGATACACAAGAAACTGGCTTTGGGGAGAGAATTGACAGTTGGGAAGACAGGAGACACTACACCCTTCTATATTTTTAAAATTTTGTACCATTTAAAAACTAAACAAGCAAAGTTTTAAAAAGATAATGTGATAATCATCAATAAAGCCTGGGAATGAAAAAGAAACCAAAACTCACCAGGCAAGGAGGGAAATCAAGTCAGCTTATGCTTCCCAGTCTAGCCTGCTGGAGCCTGCCCTGTCCCTCCTCTCAGAACCCTGGAGGAGGCTCTTAGCAAGCCCTCAGGGCCTCACCTTCTGCCTGCAATACTGGTTCTCAAAATGGAAAGTCCCAGCCTCCCCAGCTCAGGCTTTGGGCTTAGCCTGAGAACTCAGCCCAGCTCCATCCTCCCAGTTCCTCACTCACCGGCTGATCCTCCCAGAAGTCACAGCTACTCCAAAGGGCTCCTCATGGTGGCCTGATGTGGAAGCTGCAAGGACAGAGATGGGGGAGAAAGTCCATGAGGTGAGGCCACTTGGAGCAGCCAGAATGCCAAGGAGGAGGAAGAGGAGAAGAGACAGGGGGGAGAGTGATGAGGAAAAGCAAAGAAAGGGGAAGAAAGCAGAAGTGGGAAAGAGGTGGAAGAAGAAGAAGAAAAGGAAAAGAGAAGGGTCCAGGGAAGCTGGAAGCCAAGCAATGGAGGCTGGACCAGAAGAAGGCCTCCAGGGACGAGGAAGGCAGCCAGACAGACCTTCTGGAGGTGGGGGCTGCACAGGTGTGAAGGGGAGTCAGCACTTCCACTCTCCACGCCCCTAGGACCAGTGGCTGGGTTGCATGTGGGGGCTAGCTGGCAAAGAGATTGCCCCCCAGGAGGTCACCAAGAAGGGACAGATGCAGCTCCTTGGCTAAGGGAGTCTCCCCTAACCTGTGGCCTCTCGGGAGAGGTGGAGCCCAAGATGCAGGGCCCTCTCCACTAAGTCTTAGGACCACAACATGTGCTGAGGGCAGAGATGGGGCAACTGAGGCAGGGCCTGAGACCCCAGGGCCATGCTCATAAACTTGGGAGGGAGGTGAGGAAAATGGGCCAAAAAAGGGGGTTTTCAGGGGAGGAGAAAGAACAGGCCAATCCTCTCAGCAGGCCATGACTCCTACTGCCCAGGCAGCACAGGCTCTGTGGGGCTGGAGAGAGTGGGGTGCAGTGGAATGGACAGGTCTCCCTCCCCTGTCCTGGAGTCAAGTCAGGTCTCCTTGCCATAAGAGCAGGGTTAGCCAAAAAACTCCTGTGTTCTGCAAAATGGCTTTGGCAGGCATTCCTGACCATTTTACAGTTTACTAATAGGTATTTATCTTATGTAGACCCTACAATTATCATTGCTTAGGAAATGGTAAAAACAGGTATGTGCTTCTAAGTAGGTACTATAAAAACAAATTTTAAGAAACTGGTACTTTAGATGAAACTGTTGGCAAAAATGGCAGTGTTACTCAAAAAACAAAAAGAGAAGACAAACACTGCTTATTATGCCAGATACCTAAGCACTTTACATCAACTCAACATCACTGCAACCTATCAGGTACATTTGATTATTAGTCTACTTTAAAAAAAAAAAAAAAAAAAAAACCACTAAGGCACAGGGAAGTTAAGTAATTTGCTTAAAGTCACAACGCTGGGAAGAAGCAGTTTGAGTATAGTCTAGACCTGCCCTGTCCAGTACAGTAGCCAGCAGCACCCACAGATGGCTTGATTTTTTTTTTTAATATTTATTTTTTTAGTTGTAGTTGTACACAACGTCTTTATTTATTTATTTTTACATGGTGCTGAGGATCAAACCCAGGGCCTTTCACGTGCTAGGCAAGCACTCTACCGCTGAGCCACAATCCCAGCCCCATAGATGACTTTTGAATACTTGAAATGTAGCCCCCCAAAATGAGGTGTACTGAATTTTGAAGACTCGGCACAAAAAGAAGGTAAAATAGCTCAAATTTTCCTATTGATTATATGATAAATGATAATATTATGATTTAGATTTAAAACGTTAATAACATTAACTGCACATGGTTTCTAATTCTTCTCACCCCACCCCACCCGAGCCCCCAGTACAGGGGATCAACTCAGGGCCTTGCACATGCTCGGCTACTGAGCTACACTTGCGGCCCTGGCATCTTTTTCTTTTAATGTGCCTATTAGCAAATTTCCATTGCACTTGTGGCTTGCACTGTATCTCCATTGGGCAGCACAGTTCTCAACTCCTAATCACTCAGCTCACTGCTTCTCAAAAGTGATAGCAAACACGAAGGAGGACCTGTTACAGGCCAGGCACCTGACTGAGGTGTAACACAAGTGGACTGATAATGGTCCCAGCCACCTGACCGGACTGGTCAAGGGAGACAGGAAACCACCCTCTCCCTGAACAGAGCCTGGCCCCCACTGGGCCTCTCTCAAGTTCCTATTCGTTCACTAAAGGGCAAAAGCCAAGGTCAGAGACGTGAGGTCTCACACTGACACCCCTTTATGACTTCCCCATTCAAGGAGCTAGAAGCATGAACCAGGTGCCTCTAGAAACTTTGGGCCAGAAGGGATCAAACACCACCAGCTCATGAGATCAGCCAGGGGGCCCTCACCAGGCTGGGGTCAGGGGCAGCTCCCTGGAGAGGGAAGCTCCTGGACACAAGAAGAGTGGAGCACCGCTCTACAGAGGCTGGGCCTCTGCAGGCCCAGTCAGCAATACTGTCCTCTCTCTACTGAAAACTGTGATATTTTATAATGTTGCTCATCATGTATTTTTGGCATAAATTTTGATTTTTTTAAATGGCATTAAAATATCTTATACCAGGTGTGATGGCACATGCCTGTAATCCCAGCAACTTGGGACAATGAGGCAGGAGGATCACAAGTTCAAGGCCAGCCTCAGCAATTTAGTAAGGCCCTTGAGCAACTTAGTGAGACCCTGTCTAAAACTGAAAAATGTGAAGGGGTGTGGATGTGGCTCAGTGGTAAAGCACCCCTGAGTTCAATCCCAGTACTAAAAAGAAGATATACCTGGATGATCAGAGGTCTTTAGTCCCCCCTTAAATTTTACACCTCAATTACTCTGTCCTCACCCTGGCCCTGGTTTAGGAATTGAAACTATGCTGCTATGACAAGTCCTAGAGAGTCATTACCCCCAGGGAGGCAGGGTCAGGGCAGAGGCAAATGTCTTCCTGTAGCAAGGGCACAGCCACAGCTGGGGGGCTTTTCTCCCCCACCCAAGGGCCCAGGCCTCCTCTCTCGCTTGGCTCATCTCCCTCTGCCATCGCTGACTGTGCTGGCTATGGCCAGGGTCCCAACCCTGCTAAAGTTCTGCCAGATCCCTGTGTTCTCAGGAGCTCATCAGCTGTCATTCTACCTGGTTCAGCCCTGACTATAACGGAAGAAGAAACAAACACCCACAGGGAGGAAGTGACTTGCTCAAATTCTCAGTGACATACCCCAAGCCCCAGGCAGGCTGGGCTGGCCCCCTCCACAACTCTCTCCATGTCACTTCCTATACCAGATGCTGGCCTGGCTTATGGGGGCCCCTAAAACTGTCAGCTGATAATGAGTAAATAAACCACACCCTCCCTCCTCAGAGCACTGGCTCCAGGCCATCTCTTGCAGAAAGTCCTCCTTGACTGCCCCTTGGTGTCCTAGGCCTCTGTACAGCCATACAGCTCAGCACTGTTTCTGTTTTCTTTGGTTGCTCTCTTTGCAGGGATCCACCTCCATCCAACCAATGTGGCCTGGGGTATTCTAAGAGTCTGTACCTCTTCTTGTTTCCCCTGCTCTCCACAGTGGAGCCCAGCACCTGGATGGCTCACAAGGGCACCCAATCCCAGTTCAGAAGTAAGAAACAGTCATCTGGAATCTCTAATCCTTGCCAGACAGTCCTTCTTCATGTCTTGCTTGAGTCCCTCTTGTTGGAGTCAAAGCAGAGTTTAAATTTCAGAGCCCCACTTCTGTCCCAGCTTGGCATCTCCCTCTCAGCACTCCTACCCACCGCTGATGGATGGCACCATTTTGGTAGCCCAGTAAGAATGACAACCATACCCCAGCTTCTTGTATCTCCTAAGTGCCACTGTGTGCCCAGCCTCTGCAGACTCCCACCTTCCTCTCACTCATCCTTGTAACCATCCCAAGACCTGGGATTTGTGTGTGTGTGTGTGTGTGTGTGTGTGGTGCTGGGGATTGAACCCAGGGCCTTTTGCATGCAAGCAAGCACTCTACCAACTGAGCTATATCCCCAGCCCTAAGACTTAGGATTTTTACCCCCTTTCACACCATGTGGTGGAAACTTACCCAGGTTACTTGTTGGAGCCCACAGAGCCTTCAGAGGATATGGCTGCCTCTGTCTTGTAGAGTCAGAGAGGTTTCCTGAGGGATCCTGTTCCAGGCAAAGGGAACTGAATGTGAGAGGCCCAAGGACAGGAAAGGACCTGGATAACCTGAAGTTCAGAGAGTTCTGCAGGACGGGAAGAGAGGACACCCAGAGAAGCTACGGCAGGCTGCTGACCCATGCGGTTGTGTCCCTCTCTGAGGCGTCCCTCAGCTTCTTTGCATTCTGCTTCGCATGAATGAGTCATCCTTGGTCAGGGCACAGGGCAGCTTTAAAGGTCCTAACTCCTTCCACACTCAGTTCTGAAGTCCTCTGGGCCAGAACATCTCCCCAGACTGAATCTCCAGGGCCCCCTCTGCACAGAGCTCCACTCTGAGTTCAAAGAAAGATCCAACCCTCCAGGGGACAGGAGACTGAGGTCTCAGCTCACTCACCCACCTCCTCCTTCTCTGCATGGCCAGCCCTTTGCCCCTTGCCCCAGGCTTCCCAGCATGAGCAGGTGGGCAGGAACCTGAGTATACAGACCTCAAGAAACCCCTCGGAGCTGTCTACACAGGAACCAAAAACATACATAGTCACACCCCAAGAGTACCACAAACCCATACTTTGCACTGCCTCCAGGGCACACACCTCCTACCTACCCGACAGCCACACAGCACAACCACCTGCCCCACCACACTGCACCACACGGCCTTCAGATCTCAGGCTCTCCACCAACAATCCCACTCTGCACAACTGCCCTGGAGCCCAACATGCTCCAGACCCTGGACATGCCCTAGACCCCGATGTCTAGCCCTCCCCGGCCCAGTCACCAGGTGATACCTACAGGCAGGGTCACCCTCCTGGACATCTACCAACCGCTTGGGCGCTTGGGACTCCACTAGCTCAGGCTAATGCGGGCAAGCCTTGGAGACACTTCCTGTAGATATGAGGAACTAGGTGGGGGTTGGGTTCCCAGCCCCAAGGGTGCAGAAGTGACCCCCGCCCCTGCAAAAAACAGCTCTTGGGCTGGGTTTGTGGCTCAGTGTAGAGTACTTGCCTCGCACATGTGAAGCCCTGGGTTCGATCCTCAGCACCACATAAAAATAAATAAATAAAGGTACTGTGTCCAACTACAACTAAAAATATTTAAAAAAAAAAAAAAAAAGCTCTCTCAGCACCCGCACCTGCCTCCTGCAAGACAGCAAGTGCAACTCCCAAATGGTTAGTCAGCTGGCCCTTGGGCCAAGAGACCTGTTTTCTATCTCTCAGGGATAGATGGCCACTGTTTACAAGTCCCAAGAAGACACACCAGGGCTCCTGTCCTGCTCCTGCCTGTGTCTCTGCCCTGTTGACCTTCCTAGCACCAAGAGAGTCCCGTCCCATCTGCAGTACGGCCTGTCTAGAGTCCCTGAAGCATAGGAGGCTGATGGCAAGTGTCCCCAGGGTCCACGTAAATGAAGAGCTGCCTCAGCTACCTAGCGGGAAGCTGGAGGTCTGTGGGCAAGTCCCTGGGCTCCAGGACTCAGGCACCCATACCCAGTATGCAGAGCAAGTCTGGACTCAGTCCCAGCTCCACCACTTCTTGCCTGAAGCCCTGGGCAAATCATGTGATATTCCAAGCCTCGGTTTCCCTCTCCACAAAATGAAGCGTTCAGTCCCTGCCCAGCACCCAGACAACCATGACGCGTCACCACATGTGTACTGGAGGCTACACTTGCTCATCTTCTGCTCACTTCTCTGCTGCTAAGGCAGTCACTTCCTGTCCCTAATCCCAAGGCCTTGGCCAGTGCTGACCAGAATAGCCCATGGCACTGGACTTACAACCAGAATCTAGTTGGGACCCCCAGCATCCCGAGGTTTTCAGTTACCCCCGACACCAATGACTACCTCACTCACCTCCAGCCATGTCCCTCTGCACCCATCATTCCAGACCAGACACCCACTGCCTGCTGGACCTCTGCCTGCCATGCCCAAGACACCACAACCTCCCATCCCAAACCAAACACACCTGCTCTTTGGCACCCTGATCTGAAAGAAGCGCTTTCAACCCAGGTGGGGCCCTTAAACAAATTAGATAGAGAAGGCTCTTCCTCCACGAACCCTGCACCAGGGCATACAGCCCAGCAAGCAGAAGAAAGGCTGGGTTTCAGATCTTCTTCTCCAGCCATCACCTCCACCCATCCCCCAGTACCCTTTGGCAGTGCACAACACACATCCACAGAGTGTGGATGAGAGACATGATTTTTTTCAAATTTTAATAATATTATTTATTTATTTATTTTGGTGCCAAGGGATTGAACCTAGGGGCACCCAACCACTGAGTCACATCTCCATCCCTTTTTATTTTTTTATTTTAAGACAAAGTCTCACTAAGTTGTTTAAGGTTTCACTAAATTGCTGAGGCTGGCTTTGAACTTGCAATCACATCCCTAGGGTGTGCCCAATGAGACATGATATTTTAGCAACCTTCTTATGGTAGCCCCACCAGCATCACCCTGATAAAATGATAAACCACAGTTTTATTAATGACTGAGAGACACCAAAGACTAAGGGACAATAGACTGCCCAGGTCGTAATTTCATGCCTAATGTTAACTTTTGACCCATCTTGAAAGATTTTCTACAAGTTTGATGTCTGTTTTGTTTGAAGTTTTTACAACTGTGTATCACTTTTATAATCAGAAGGAAAAAAGAGAAATGTATTTAAGTAACTAGCACTGAGTTTCTTGCAGTTTGTTCCCTAACACTATCATTATACAGTAGCTTCATTTTAAATAAAGCATGCAATAGATTACTAAGAGAAATATAAACAAAATTGCTGATATGCTGGGTCATCTAGACTGGAGAATGAGAGACAGAGACCCACAGCCCCCTCCCCAACTCCTGAGGATCTCACACACAGCGATCAAATAAGGTCCCCCCCAGTCTTCCCCAGGCCTAAGAGGCCAGAGGCAGAGCACAGCCTCCAACTCCCAAACCAGAAATGCACCGAGGCCCACCAGTAAACCCAAGGCTCCCCGGACTCCGTGGTTTGTCTTCCAGACAGCATCTGACTCCACCCCAGCCCTGACACTCACCCTTCGGCCCCCTCATGGCTCAGTGCCCTCCGAGTAGAGGGTCAGGTAGGAAGCAAGCTATGACTCCAAAGTCCCTCACTTGCAAAAAAAAAAAAAAAAAAATGAAGCTGAAAGTAAAAAGGATTTGATTTTAGGCCTCATGAAAGTCTGCCACATTCTAATCCCTCTCCTCCTGTCATGTACCCTTCCCCAGATGGGCCACTTGGGACCACTCCCCTCTCCCAACTCATTCCTCTATGGCATGTTTTGTCACACCTCTCCCTGTCACCTTTTACAACAGGCCTCTGCTGGTTTATTTTTGCAGTGCAGGGGATGAAACCCAGGGCCTGTGGTAAGCACTGGCCACTGACAGCTATACCAGCCTTTGGCCTAGCTCGCCTGGACCCTGACCCCTTGTCCCTGCCTCCTGCTTTTCCCTACCCACAGCCAGCCTGCCCTCAAGTCCACGAGGTGAACCTGATATGGCAAAGGTCCTGCCCCAACCCACATCCATATTCTCTGCCCCACTTCTTCATCCTCCAGGGCCGGCTCAGGCCCTTCCCACCCATGACCCACACCTGCGCTCCTGCCAAAAGCACAACAGGGCACTGGCCTGGCCCATGACCCTCAGTCACTAACATGGTCTCCTGGGGCTTGGGACTTCTTCCCAGGGCACCTCTCACACCACAGAGTGTGTATGCTGAGCAGAGGCAGGCCTGAGGTGCCACAGGGTGACTCCAGGAAACCCTCTGCTGTGACCGCTACCCATGGGGAGATAGGAGGGGCTATCAGCACTGTAAATGAGGCAGAAACAGGAAGACAGCAGAAGGATGGGAACACAGGGCTGACCACAGAATCACTGGTGGCAGGAGCAGACAGAAGGAGGGTGACCACTGCTCTTCTTGCCAGGACCCTTGGCATACACTGGAGTGGCCTCGGGCCAACATGGCATTGACAGTAGAGAGAAGAATTGACCAGAAACCAGAGGCTCCTGCTTGCTCAGGAGGACTTGGTGGGCTCCTCTGCACCCCAGAACTGTGGCCCAGGGGAACAGGGACCCAGACCTGCCCCTCCCTAGGTGGCCCCTAGGAGAATGGAGAAGCCGGAAGATAAGTGGGTCCCTCGCTGCTGCCACCTGAAAGGGGAAGCTGCTGTGTTGGGGGGTGGGGGTGGCTAGAATGGCAGGGGAAGGGGCTGTGACTGGAAGGGAGGAGGGAGATGGGAAACCATTCCCACAGGCTATGGCCTCTGATTTCCTGTGTGACCTCAGCTTTCCCCACTACACAGCCAGCAAGACAGGAGGACTCCCCGACTCAGCCTTCCTCTCCAAGCCCTGTCCAGCAGAGCCACAGTGGGGCATCCTAACCTGCTCCCCTGGTCAGCCTTCCCTGCTCAGAGCACTGTGAGGACACACTATTCAGTGGCTACTATCTGCCAAGTACTGTATCCACAGCCACCATACCACACACATCGATAAAGCGGGTGGTTTTAGACCACTTTACAGATGAGTAAACTGAGCCTCAGAGGTTGCTCAAGGCCACACAGGGGCCAGAATCTGAATCAAGGACTGCCTGGATCCTTTCTCCACCCCATCTCCTCAGAAAGACACAGAGACACACAGGGCCCAGGAAGGGGACAGGGAGGGCAGGTAGAAGAGAGAGAGCAAGTGTAGGCTAAGAAAGAACTTGAAGTCTAACCTAAGATGCTCATGGTTACTGTCTAGATGAGAGGAAGCCATGATAGGCAGTAGAGTGTTTCTTGGACAGAGTGCGCGGCCACAGACGGTGAGACAGGGGAATCCACATAACTTCTCTGAGCCTGAGTTTACACATCTGTGTAATAGAATCATGACAGCTTTGTCTTGCATGCTAGAAAGGAATAAATTTAAGCCTTCAAAACAGATCCACAGCTGACCAGCTCTCACTCCTTTGGAGTAAAAGCTCCATCTGGCACACAGCCTCCTGGGCCTGTGCGGTCTGTCCCTACTGGTTCCTACCTGCTTGTTCTGGAT